CCTTGCTTCAAAGACATTTTACTTCAGCCATACCAATAACTTCTGTAAGGTTGAGGTGGTTTGCTAATATCTTTCTACTGAAACACTGAAAGGTTAAATGACCCGCAACGTAGCAAGTCCTATCTGAAAAAGCATTCAATGTTTATTAGATACATATTTAATTAATTGTATTGCAAAGTTAAGTGCTGCTCGTATATCTATATTATTTTAAATATGACTTTTGTGATCTTGAAAAGAAAGGATGCTTCTATGTTTTGTAGCCATACTTTTAGAGGTTAGGTTTTAGGATTGGCCTCTAATATAACTGTGGACAAATGAAATCTTGAGGAAAAATTTAGCTTTGAATGTTTAGGGTCAGAACATTAAAGGTACTCAACACTGATCACCACTGCCTCTACCTGGTTCAATGGTGCACCCGCAAAAGAAGAAGTTTGGCAATACCATTCGTGCCTGCAGTTAGTTTAGTCCATTTCCTCACCTCCACCTTCAATCAGCTGCAGGTATAAAATGTGAGATCAGTTTAAAACACAAAGCAAAACCCAATACGCAGCTCAAGCCCATGCTATGGTTAAAATATAACCGACAACAAGCTATGTCCCAGTTGGAAATACTGGGAAGAAACTACATGCATTTCAAAGAGTTTCTCAGCTAGAATGCCTGGAGCCTTCAACCTTTCATTCATTATGATTCTACCCTTCTCCCTTTTAAGCCAATTAACTGCAATTTCTGACAAAGTGGAAATGTTCCTTTTTTGACAAGTGGACCTGCCAAGATGCCTATCAGCACTGTGTTTGTTGCACAAGACAACCTGTAGAAAGAGCCCCATTGGTATTTCCACAGCAAATGGCGTGCATCAGTGTTTCGTTTCTAACATTCTGTAACTTGTTCACTCAACCAAATACATTCCTCTTCAGGAATGCCAGAATTTCCAAGTGCATAGTTTATGCCATGCAGAAATAAAGGCAGGTGGAATATCTTTTTCTCAAAGATTTTCACAAGAAGCTATTGCTGACTTCATCATTCTGTTGAGTGGATTTCCATGAAAGTGGCATCCACAGCTTATTGCAATGTATTATCTGTGGTATTTTAAATAGAGTGATTTTTCAAGTAGCAAGAAGGAAAGGGGTTGGTCAGCTGGTTTAACTATAGATGCCTTCTGGACAGAGTCCAAAACGCAGCAGATAAACAGTCTGATCATGTGTCACAAAGAATTTATTTATAATGTGATTGTTTTTCTTTTGGCTCTGGAGTTGTAATACAGCTGCCATGGAAGGGCTGTGTTTTGTGTCTTTTGAAACCCTTAAAATCCCTCTTGTGTTTTTTTAACCTTTCTAATGATTAACTTGTTTGCTGTTGAGTCAATGAGAGGTATTATTAACCCCACAATCATCTTGATGTTCTGAGCACCATTATTCCTCTAAGTATTTATAGCATCCTTCACTGGGATGTCCTTTTACTCACTTTTGTAATTTGGTGCATTACTACAAGCACATCATTTTTCTATACACCACAGTTAGCTTCTGCATATAAAGCAGTTCATCACATTTCAATTTGTTATCTGATCAAGGACAAAAAGTTCCTGTTTAAGAAGAGCTGCAAGCCCACTTAGTTAAAATTCCCCTGCAAAAAATGCTAAGTCCACTGTCTTCTGCGAGTTTAAAAACTCCCTGTGCATGGCACTGCATTTTTTAGAGGGTTTGATTATTCTCTCCAACTCCACCCAAGCCAGGCACCAAGAAGACTCTTTGTTTAGGATCTTCACTAGACTGCACAGAAAAATGGCTGTGGGGATATCAGTAAGACCCTTATATAAATACTAGTGAATTGCCCATCAAGAATGACCGGGGGGGAAGGAGGGGCAGCAAAGCTTGCTAACCCTACCCCCCGCTACACCGCCACCACCTCCCAGGAGCGGGGGGGAGGAAACTTGCCCCACCGTCCCCTCCATCTCCCTCTGCCAGTACCCCGCTCTGTCCCCTCCTTCCCTGCCATCATGGCTGCACATGTTTCAGTAACCAATCAGAGTGCTACAAGAGCGTTACTGACAGAGGGACAGACGAACTAAGGCCTTTATTATATTAAAATGATGGCATACAATGAAATTTAGCCACCTTCCTGGGACCATAGTTACTTCCAAGACAGCCACAGAGAGGCCCTCGCTGCCTCAAAACAGTAAAGCTACCATGAGTTTTCTGCACAAGGGATGATACTTCCCCTAATTTTTTTTTATTTTACTACAGAAATATAATGCAACATCCATAATCTGTTGTATTCTTTTATGCCTGGTATCATAATATTGGGGTTTTTTTATACCCATTATTGTAGTATTTCATTATATGAACAGGTATAGCTATATTTTTCTTGAAAACAAGTAAAAGCATGAGAGCGAGAGAGAGAGAGAGATCTGCCTCTAAGTCACTGCCAGTTTCAGAAAAACGTTTCCCTTCCCCAGTTTTAGACATTATTAATATCTTACTTCATGGAAAATATGCTTTGTACCAGCAAGTCAACAGTCCATTGAAAATAAAGAAATAAGAATTTGTGTAAGCATAAAATAAGGTCTGAGAAGTAAACCATCTATGTGAAGATATGCTTGGGAATTGAAAGTCGACACAAGTTAGACTCATGGGCAGCCAGCATCTCTGGAAATCCATCCCTAGGTGTCTAAATTTAAGTACCCAAAATTAGAGGCCACCTTTGAAAATATGAGCCTAAATGGAAATTCATGGACAGTAAACAGGCTGCATGATATTTTCAAGGAGTAATAAACCAACATTTCTAAGCCAGCCTTTCCTGAAAGCTGTTGAAAGCAGTTATCCTGACAAAGTAAAAAAAAAATCATGATAGTATTTGTATTTGAAACTGCCGAACACAAAATCTAATCCCACGTAGCAGCAGAATAATTTTCTGATAGGTAAAGAAACACTTCTTATGTATCAGAACACAATGAGTAGAACTAGGACAAAAGATCTCCATTCAGCTGGTAACATTGAGTCCTAGAAACGAGGAGTTAAGAATACTGGCTCACGCTTGGATTTCATTGCAACTAAGTGTTAGTCTGAAAACATTTTCAGAACAACACTGTAACACTGATAAAAAGGAAGAGAAAATTCAGGTCTAGGAGAGCCTCTGAATATGGCTGGGTAATGATGAGCGTGAATAAGCAACACAGAACAGTCAGCAAAGAGATGCCTTTGTCAGACATCAGATGTAGAGTTCATGAGCTAGCAGTTTTCCTGAGAGTCATGAGGAAATCCCACACTAGAGTTTCTGTTCTTTGCACAGAATTAGTCAAGCCATATTTTATTGATTGATTTTAAACAAAGGTATCTGGAGAGGTAAGTCAACTCCAAAATATGAACAAAGTGAACAAAACTGATTATTGGGGAGGCAATTGCAGCATTTTATGACTATAGATTCACACTATACATTGTGAATTACAATTACATTTGTACAATATCATATAAGAGCTGGTCAAAACTAGGAATTGCCACTTTGTATAGAACTCTGACTTTTTGCAGATTTTGCTCCAAATCAAAACAAAGTAGTTCATTTCAACATTTTCCATGAAATAGCCAAAAAATGTTTTGAGTGAAATGAAAGTGTTTCTAGTTATTCATTTTGTAGGATAAAAAAAGTTGAAGCAAAATTTTTGAAGCATCTCATTTCAAAATGGAAAGTTGGAATGGCATAGTCTGATGCTGTCAAAGGGAAATGTTTTAGATATCAAAATGCTTCATGTTGGTTTCAAAAAGAAATGTAATCAAATTTGATCTGGTCCCATGGAACATTTTACTTTTGAGCAACTGACAGGTTCCAACAGAAATACATTGTCAGGAAATGTCATCCAAATCCAGTCATTATTAAAATAGAGAGACTCACTGCACTAGTATACTTACTCTTATTATGACCATTATCCACCATCATTAATTCTCAGGTTTGCAAAGAAAATTTGCATTTTTCATCATTATTTCTTGTTTCTCTGTTCCCTTAACCTGCTTACTGCCTTTCCATTTGCTTTTCATTTTGCTTTTGTTTCACATCCACATGGCTTCTCCAAAGTAGTTTCTCCTTTAGAGGTAATGCTTAAGCTGTCTTCAGTTTCTTTTGACCCCTACTATAAAATGCATTTTAATGAATTATTTATATATTCAACTCCCTAAGGAGTTTCACTTGTATCTTCTATGGTTTCTGCCTGTCACAGGCAATTACTGAGTTTCATCGGCTGGACAGCAGCTGCCAGTAATCAAAACATGTCCCTTCTTTACCTTTGGTTTTCACACCATTCAGCACACACAAGCCTACCAGCTCTCCTCTATCATCAAGATGATCATCTTACGGGTTCATTCCCTGGTCTGTTTTGAGGGTAAGGTTGGGTGGGCTATTATTTGTAAATCACGCTGTTGGGTAAGGAAAGCAGTGAAAAACAGACAGCTTCTGCTACTTGTATGGATTTGGATGAACAAATGTAAATGCCAGAAACAAAATCCTTTGCATACTAAAGCATATCTAATAATAACCATGGCATTTTACCAGTTGTGTAGCCATCAACACATGATCTTTGCTTGGCTTTATCCAAATAACATCCTAGGTAGGACAAAACCACGGTAAGCTTGCTAACCCCTTAAATAAATACAAAGTAATAGGTATGTGTAAGTATTTATCTAGTATTGTGTGCTCTAGTTCTTATTTTCCAGATAATCAACCTATCATCTAGCCTTACCTTTTTTCTTGTGTTCTAGATCAACTGGGGGGGGGGGGAAATCTTTTTGGCAGGTGTGCCATAAATTAAGCCCTGCACCCTCCCTAGGTGCCACTCCCGTCTCTTTCCCCTGCCCAATCTGCTGCTCTGTTTTCTGCTTCCTCTTTGTGCTCCTTGCCCAATCTGCTGCCTGCCCCCTCCATGATCTGCTATGTGCCACACAGAGCCTGCCTGTGCCATTTCTGGCAGGTTGGCCACCCCTGTTCTAGACAATACTAGAAACTTAGTGGAAAAGGTGTATCACAAGGAAAACTTTATTATTTCAAATGCATGGATTTGTTTCCTTTTAACTGTGTAAAAATTCTCCAAGTTTTTAAAGCATTGAACAATTAAATATTTCACACAGGACTTTGGAATAAAGCTTGTATCACTGAAATCTCTTCACAGTGACATACCTCTCTTGTTCATGTCTGTTAAAAGTACTTGGTTCTCCTCTTCTGGGGTTGGTCAAGGTCAGTATCACTTTCAGCCTAATATCAGTCTACCAGGCTGTGAAGGTTAAAGGTCCCTTGCCATCATGTCTAACTCCAGAAGAAACAGCCATTTAAATCCTCTTCACTGGTTAGTGGGTATAAGGGGCCCTGAGACATTGGCACTCCACTGAGTCCCACCTCAGAACCACAAGGACAAGTTTTCATGGCAGCTTCATTCTTACCAATATCCCCCGGTTTACTTCCTGCCCTACATGGCTTTAGTTCAGTTATTTCCATACTCTCTGCAGGTCTAATCACCTCTCTCACAGTGGCTGCCTGTGGTCATGCCAATTCTTCTGCAGGTCTCTTTAGATGACCCAGGCCTTCCTTCTATTGTAGGTTGACTCTTGACTATTATCTCTTGACTGGTTAGCTGGAAGACCTTGGTTATTGTAGACTCCTAGTTGCCCTGCTGTGGTGTTTATAGACTCCATCACCAGTTAACTAAGTTGTTGCTTTGATGGTTCTTTTCCTCCTGATACCTTCCAAAGCCTAAAAATAAAGGCAATAATAAAAAAAACAGATTGAAATTGTAGCATTTTGAAATACCGTACCAAATATAAATCCTATAAACAGTCTCCTACAAAAACCAAAGAATTTCACACAACTGTACCATAACAGTTTCCCTTTTCACCTTTTCATCTGCCCTTATGCCCCAATCCTGAAAAAAAAAAAAAAAAAAAGGATATTTTGGAATACCCTCATGAATTCATTGGGAATACTAATATATGAAAATAAGAATGCACTTGAAGTATGTGAGCTGGTTAAACTTGTACTATATTAAGTGAACTAATTCAACTTCTACAAGTGAACATTTTCTCACTGAAAAAATACTTTTTTGTGAAATTGAAAGCTCATGGGAAAATCTTTTGAATTACTTTCATTTTAACATTTAAATTGAAAAACATGCTAATTAGGTGTGTTATTTCCATTTGAAATCTCTTTGCTGCTGCCCTTTTTCCAATAGCAACATAGAAAAGTGGGGGGGGGGGGAGAGAGGCACATGCCCCCTTAAAAAATAAGAAACTTTCCAAATCAGAAATTTTCAGAATGTGCATGAAATGTTTCTTCCAGTTTTAAAGCAACTCTGGGCATAACACATTCACCCTTCTCCCACAGATTCATTTTTTCTTCTCCATTAGCACTGTAGGTCAGGGGGTTTTTTTGTAATGTTTAAGAACCGTGTGTGGAGAATACAAAATCAAGTGCCTTCACATATAGAGATTTGCTGTAAAACAGAACCAGAAAAAAAGACAATTAGTGGAACCTGACAGGTAGAACCCTTGCTTGGCCACCAGGAAGAAAATGCATGATTTGGTTTGTGAAAAGTTGCCCTCATTTTTAAACATAGATTGTGGGGATCATGGGGTACTCTGGGTTCAATTTTAAATCTCACTTGTGGAGAGGTAGTTTCAAATCCTTGACTGAAATCATAGATTAAAGAGCTATTGCATTTCATATGTCAACACAACAAGCCCCTTGCTTAATAACCTTTTCTTCAAAGGTCTACGAGTGCGAATCGACAGAGAAGAGCACTTTGTTTCACACTTTCCCATGAACTGTGAAATAAGTAGTCATGGTGAAGCTTTGCATGGCTCTTAGTCCCTTGGAATCATTAAATAAATTCACCCCCACACTCTGTTTTCCACATTTGAATGCGACCAAGCAGGTTGACCCTCAGAAAAATCAGAAGAAGCTACTTGCTCTAAACTCCTCATTGCGCATGCAGGTGACAATATTGCCAATGCCAAACACTCATAAAACAAGCAAAAATAATCCACAGTTTGGACCCTGACAGTCATGAGATTCAGTTTTTCTATACATGCTGCCTCACAAATTGCTTTCTGGCATTGTAGTTTATAATTACAGCCTTCTCTTTTCAAGTTTTTGTATGTAGCTGTGAGGACTAGAAACTTTGTGTTCATTGAAAGGGGAGAGCTTCTTACATAGTAATAAAATTCTAGGAGGTGGGTTATTAAAAAGGATACTATCTATACTGATAAAATCATGAGAGCTGGCAACACTGTATCGGATATGCTTCTGTTATTTACCCATGTAACTGCAATGCCTCCAGGCTTCGGGGTTGAAGAGAACTCCATTGTATTGGAGAAAGTAGCATGAATACCTTTGGCAATTCTATGTTATTTTCTTGTCACAAGTCTAATCACAGATGATGATGCTTGAGTCTGAGTTTTAATTTCCTGTAGCAAATAAAATGAGATGAAAGAGTGCAAAGTATGAGGTCACGCATGCACTTAGGAGCTAATAACAAGAACGATCTGGGCACATGAGTTGATCACAAAGTAACTACAAGCCACCTCTGAAGCAACTGTGGAAAAGGTATATGTGATCCTAGGATGCATCAAGCATGGTATTTTCTAACAGAGGGACAGGAAATTATTAAGGCTGTTGTTCATAGCCCTAGTGAGAGCTTATCTGGAATACAGTGTAGGATTCTGGTCACCCATGTTAGAGAAAGACTAGAAGAGGTGCCATTAATCAGGCTAGCAGAGCTATTAGGATGATCAGCAAGGATCCTGGTTTTCCGTGTTTAAAAATTGTGGATTCTCCGACTAAAACTTCTGATATCCACGGTTTTCTGTGGTTAAAATGAAACGCCACTATATACATAGGTATCAGTTGAACACAATGTTTTATTGATAGATTTACAATTTTAAAGCAATTTGGAAGCTATAATAAAATAAATTCAAAATACCTAGAATTTTTGGCTTTTGATTTTGGGTTTTTTATCATGGAAAATCAGAGCTCCTTCTGTCCCCTTCACCCACCAGGACGTGGGTCCAGCTACAGTTGTCTAACCCCCCCTTGGCATTGAGCAGCCCTGATATGCTGGTGCCCTGCCTATGCCATTGCCCCTCATTCCTGACCCACAAGCCCCCAACCCTGCTGGTGCCCATCACTGCCCAACCACAACCCCCTGACCCTACTAGTTCTCCTCCCTCCCCAACCACAGCCCCCTGCTCCCCTCCCCAGCACAAATCTGAGGGGCACATGCTCCCCTGCCTGCCCCCCCTCTGGGAGTGTAAGCAGCAGCAGGGAGCCAGACCCCTCCCCATCCCCCAGACAAGCCACCCACAGACCTGTCCCGCTTCCCGCCTGGGCTCTGCAGCCATGCACTCCAGCCCCAGGACCCCAAGCCCCATGCAGCAACCCCAGCCCCAGCCCTGCTCAATTCTTTCCCTCTCTCACTATGAGGGCCTCAATTTCCCCTACTCCAAACTTACCTGCAGGACCTGTTCTCCAGGCTGCCTGGCCACAATGTGCATGTGTATGTGCCTAATTTATTCATGGCCATCTAATGCCCCTTTGTTCTTCTGTCAGCCCTGTCTTTTAGGTTAATGGCTCCCCCTACCTCACCACCCTTCTCTCACTCCCTCCAACCCCTTTGAGGCTAAAACTCTGCCAGCCTGCAAGGGGCAACCCACTGTTTCCTGCATTTTTCTCCTTTAAAGGATAAAGTCTGGGTTTTTCTCTTTAAAATGAGAAAATCCAGATTTTACTGCATGGCAAATGGAAAACCCGGATCCCTGATGATCAGGAGACTGGGGAGCCTATTTTACTGATAGAGACTACAAGAGTTTGGCTTATTCAGCTTAATAAAATGGAGGATGAGAGTGGATCTGATTGCTCCCTATAAATACATCACAGAGGGTGCTTCTGCATGAGACATTTGCTGTGCTGTTGGCTACTTAGCTGCACAATAAACATGCTGTCTGGGCTGGTTGGGGCACAACGGTGCTTCCGTGCAGTGTCTGCCTGCTGGCTAGCCCTGTGCTAAAGCATCCTCGTGCCACAGCTAGCCCCTCTGCAGCATGCCAAGCCAGGGAAGCAATTGTGGGCTGACAGGCTGAGCCCCTGGGTCCCCTGCTAGCTGAGGCTTTTCTACCCTGGTTCAGTGTGCTGCAATTCTGGGGGCATGTGCAGTTGTGCACCCTGCAGCAATAAACTCCAGACTGGCAGAGAGCAAATCACGAAAGCCAAAGCTGTGGTGGAACTCCAGCTAGCTACAAATATCAAGGAAAACAAAAAGTCCTTTTTTAGATAGGTGGGGAGCTAGAGGAAAAGCAAGGGCAACATTGGACCCCTGCTAAACCAGATGGGGAACTGACAACTGATGC